TACATACTTACATACATACATACATACATACATACATACTGGGATGTGTGTCTGATTATCTGTGTGTCCCTGGGCCCCTGCAATTTCGACTTGTAGAGCCGGGCGGGCCCGCTGGCGCGCGGATATGCCCCGTCGCGGAGCGCAGTGGTCCGCACGGGGTCGCGCAGCCCCGCGGGGATCGCGCCCCAGGTGCTTGTCCCGCGAGGGCATGGACGATTTAGGATGCGACTTCCAGGAGGCTCAACCCGTAGATCCTGGCGTGGCAGTTTTTTCGAGCCGGGCTTTTCCGCTTGGTGCTCGTCCCGCGAGGGCACGGACAATTTCCGAAGAAGAAAAACCATCATGAAGATATCTTTGTGGCGCCAGAAGTTGTTGTTTATGGCGTTGGTATTCTTTTTCTAAGGATACGACTCCTGGGAGGCTCAAGCCTCGGCGCTGGCAGATCCGTGGTCGAAGTGGCCCGAGCCAGCAACATCCTCCCTGGTTCCATTTAGTTTGTAATTCCAGGGGAACCCAGCATTTTCGCCCTTCGCTCTTCTCACAAAGACCTTGCAGGAGCTTACTCCCTAAGTCTACGGAGCTGTTCGAAGGAGAAAGCCTAAATAACGTGTGAAACTCATGGAGCTCCACTCGGATTGCTTGGATCTGCGTTGATCCCCCCTCCCTGGCGCGGGGAGCGCGCCAGGGGCGGCGCCCGAGGTGCCGCCAGGGGGCCCCAGTGCCGATCCAAGAAATCCCCGCGGAGCGACGAATGCTTATGTTCATGATTTTGTTGGTCGCCCTCCACAGACATGATTCGGCGGCGAGCGAGGGGGGGGAAATGAGAAGGAGAAAGCCTTCTTAGAAAGCTGCTGCACTTCTCAGAAGCCCCCGCGCCCTCTGAGAAGTTTCTTTTTGTCTTCGCAGAAGGCTCAGACAGCTTCCAAGACGGCGGGGGGAACTTCTGAGCCTTCTGAGAAGGCTTCCTCCTTCTCACCTCCCCCCAGGCGCGCCGCCGAATTCAGCGGCGCGCCCGGGGAGGGAAGGAGAAGAGCTATGACCCCAAAATCAAATTAATTCGGTTTGGGGGTCATGACTGAGGTCTCCGGCGGCCGTTCGGGACGATCGGGGCACCCATGAAACGCCCTCGGCGAGGCGCAGCTGCTGGCAAGCATCCCGAGGCTGGAAAACCGCCGAGAGCCGACGAAAACGTTTGCAGACCTCGAGCCTCGAAGTCCGAAGCCCGAAACTTCCCTCCCCCCTCGCTTGGATGTGGGAGCTCGCCGCTCGTGAGGCGACCTCCGCCGCCGCCGCCGCCGAGCAGGGCGGCGATGCGGGCGTGCCGGCGCCTGCGGCCGCCCTGCCGCCGTGGGCGGAGCACGGGGCGGCGAGCCCGCCCCCGGCCGCCGCCGCGGAGGAGCGCGAGCGGGGAGCACGCGTCCGCATCCGCGCCTTCTCGCGGCCTGGGCTCCGGGGCGCGATCCCGCAGGTACGCGGTCACGTGGATGCGCGTTCCTCGACGAAGAAAAAGCGCCACAAACACAAGCTTCTGCCGCTCCGCGCGGCTGTCTTGGATATCCGCGCTGGGCCCCCCCCCCCCTCCCCCCCCACCCGGCGGCGTCTCCGGCGCCGTCCCTGGCGCGCCCCTCGCGCCAGGCAGGGGGGTCCAGCGCCGATCCAAGAAATCCGCGCGGAGCGCCAAAAGTGTACGTTCATGGCGTCATTATTTCTTTTTCTACTTCCGCGCGGGGCATCCGCGACAGAGCGCCCCGCATCCGCGGGGCCTGGCCCGTGAGGCCGCGGGTGCGGATGGTGTTGTGTTCGCCCACGGAAGGAGGAGGGCCAGGCCGAGGAGGACGAGCCCGCAGGCGCCGAGCCCTTCAGGATCCCAGGGGGCAGGACAACGGCCAGACCTCCGATGATCTTGAAACGCAACACGTCCCGTGTTCAAGACGTCCGTGTCAATACGTTGCGTGTTGGCTCCACAGATTGGACCACGTTTTGGGGGACGTATCGCGGCAGACCCACGTGTTCAGTCTACGTGTTGAGTTCCGTATCAATGCGCTAAGTGTTGCGTGTTGCGTATCGGGGCAGCTAAGCCGATGATCTGTGTTTTCAACAGGGGGCCCTCCTCCTCCTCCTCCTCCTCCTTCTCCTCCTCCCCTGCTATCGTGCCCCGGGGCTGTCAAAAGTGGATCGTGGGTGCAGAGCGGCACTCCCCCCAGGCCAGGGAAGGGTTTGGGACTCCTGGTGCCGCGGACTGAAACAACCATGCCGGCGGGCGTCAGGGACTTTCGGAGGGCCCCGTGGGGACCTGTTGGGGCCGGGGTGGGGTTCTCGCGGCGGCTCTGGCGCGCCAGGCGGCTCTCGGGGAGGAGGTCCAGCGCCACCCCAAGAAACTCTCCAAAGGCTCCCCCAGCAGTGCTTGCACCAAGGGTCTCTGTTGGCCCTTGTGCTTGAGCCATTGGGCTGTTGCTTCTCGGTTCTCGCCCGATGGCTGCCTCGTGACCGCCCGTGGGCGCCTCGTGGGCTGGCTGCGGTTTCCGGGTTCCCTCCCTTGTCTTAAGCCGCCCCTGTCCCTCTACAAGAGGAATGCTCAAAATTAGTTAAAAATAGTCTGGTGACTATCTTTTGAATATCTGTTTTTACCATTTAGGTGCACGTTTGGACAATTGTCTAGCTGTCGTCCAAAATCCCCCTGGCGGGGGACACGCCCGACCTGACCCTTGTCGTCGCCCGTGGGCACTTCCACGAAGGATTGCAAAAAAAACCAAGGATTGCAAAAAACCCAGGATTGCAATGCCGTTTTTTTTTGCAATCCTTCGTTTTTTTTTGCAATCCTTCGTTGAAGCCCCCCCCGTGGGCACTGCCCCGGCGCCCCGTGCCCCCGGCGGCCTCTCTCCGGGTGCTCTCGCCCGGTCGCCGCGCGCGTGGCCGCCCGCACGGGCGCCTCGGTGGGCTGCCGCGGGCCACGGCTGGACCACGCAGCCGACACGCCACAGCGGCACAGCGTCCCCCCCCCCTCACACTCAGGAGGGGAAAAAACACGCAGACACAATTCATCGTCGGTTCCCCAGAAAAAATATGGGAAACTATGGGACTTGGGCGGGAAGACAAAAGCCCAGAAACTACGGGAAAATACGGGGCATCTTTTTATTTGTGTGAATCTATTTGTGTGTCCCAGGGCCCCTTCACACATGCAGTCTGCGCCACGTGCATCCTTGTTTTCTGAGAGGGTCTTCGGATCTACCTCCGCCCCCCCCTCGGGGTTCCCGGTCCGTTTCTGCTGCGTTGCAGGTTTCGTGCGGGTCTGCCCCCGCGTCCATCCGAGAAAAGAACTCAGACCGTCCCAGGCAGGTCCTTATCGCTCCCCCCCTCATCCTCCACAGAAATCAGTTTTCAAAGTAATTTTGTTAAAGTGAGACGAAATGCGAACGTGCGCGTCGTCGGGCGCGCATGCCGAAATCCTTCAAAGACCTTCGGTTCCGAACGGATGTCAATATCGAGCATTCAGGAAGCATGTCAAAAGCAAATGCTTCGCAACAGTAATCTTCAAAATCATTGTGTTCTCGAGCTCCTGTGAATTCTTAAGAAAAGCATGCGTGTTTCGAGATTCTCATCAACTGCTACTAAACGTGCCTCTCGCGCTCGCGCATGTCGAAACCATTTGAACTCCCTTGCGCGAGTGCTGTCGCAAGAACTCCTTGCATCAAACAGGACGAAGTGCGCACGCGCGCGTCGCGTGCGCATGCCTGAATTATTTGAACAAGTTGGGTTTTCGAAGGATTTCACACTCCAGTGTCCCGCAAACACATGGCTTTGCAACCTCAGTGTTCAAAGGAGTAAAAGGTCTGCGCGCGCGCTCTAGCAAGTTCTTAAGAAAACCAACGGTTCCCCAGCATTCTCATCCAATTCGACCAACAGGGCCTCTTGCGCCCCATGTCGAAATCATTGAAAGAGCGTGTTCTACCGCTGCTGGCGGAAAACCGGGGGGGGTCACTACGGTCGAACCCCTCCACCCCCCCCCCCCGGGAAAACCAGGGGGGGTCACTAGGTTCGAACCCCCCCCCCCCCCCCCCCCAGCTCATCATGAAAAGGGGGGGGGGGTCACTACCGGTTCGAACCCCTCCCCCCCCCCCCCCTCTCGAAAACCCAGCGGGGGTGCGGACAGAGGTGGGGACGGTGTTGGTGGGACAGTGGTGAGGGGACAGCGGGACAGTGGTGGGGACAGTGGGACAGTGGGACAGTAGAGGGCCGGTAGTGGTGGGGACAGTGGTGAGGACAATGGTGGGAACAGGGGGGACAGTTGACAGTGGTGGGGACGGCGGTGGTGGTGACAGTGGTGTGGGCACAGTGGGAATGAGGTGGAAACAATGGGACAGTGGAGGGTACAATGGTGGTGGGGACAGTGGTGAAGGCGGTGGCGAGGACGGCGGTGGGACAATGGGACAGAGGTACAGTGGGGACAGTGGTGGGGACAGTGGGGACAGTGGTGGGAACAGTGGGACAGCTCTGTGGGACAGCGGAGGAGTCAGTGGGACAGTGGGGACAGTGGGGATAGTCGGGCAGTGGTTGGGGCCGTGGAGACAGTGGGGAGAGTGGAACCGTGGTGGGAACAGTGGCGGGGACAGTGGGGACAGTGCGACAGTGGTGGGGGCACTGGTGGGGACACAGTGGGGACAGTGGTGGTGAGGACAGTGGTGCTGGGAACAACAGTGGAGGATGTGATGCGGACGGTGGTAGGGGCCGGGAGTCGTTTGCTGGCGGTGAGTGGGGGGGGGTGGGGAAGGGTCGAAACAGAGTAGTGATCCCCCTACGGTTTTCCGAGGGGGGGGGTGGGGGGGTTCTAACCGGTTTAGTGACCGACCCCCCCCCGGGTTTCGGATCCTGAGGGGGGGGGGGGGGGGGAGGGGTTCGAACACGCCTGGACCCCCGGTTTTCGAGGCGGGAGGGGGGGGGGAGGGGTTCCAGCAGGGGAGGGGGGATTTTCGTGAGGTGGGGGGGGGGGGGCGACCCCCGGGTTCCGGAGGGAAAAGTTGGCAATTTTCCACAGCAAAGCGGCGGTGGATCACGCTCTCTCAAATCATTGGACCCCCCGCGCGCGTGCTGGGGGGGCACGATCCCTATCAAATAGATTCCGTGCGGGCCGCTCGCGCACACCCACCGTGCACAGGCTCCTTGTGCGCAGCCCCACAGCGCATAGCCGCCCCATTGCGCCGTGCGTCCACCACATGGCGTGCACACCCACGGTGCACGGCCTCGCCGTTTTGGGCCCACGCGGGCCAGCGATCCTTGGCACTTGTGCTTCCTGGACCGTCCAGGATCGAGGACGTGAGCCCCGAGCTCCTGGCGCGGGCGCAGAAGGCCACCCTCGCCCTCCTGGAGTCCAACTCCGGCGAGTGCCCGAAGCACTTCGTGCGGGCCCTGCTGAAGCAGGCGGGAGTGCCGGGCATGCCCATCGCCGCGCTCGGCGAGTCCTTCTTCTTCTCCGCCACCGAGGTCTTCCTGCGGCGCGGGGGCGCCCCCGCACCGGAGCCGGGCGCGCCCTCGAGGTCCGGCGCCCCGGAGGAGCTCCGGCAGGCGCTGGTCTCGCTGGTGCGGGAGGCGGGCGGGCGGATGCAGCTGGCGCAGCTGGCCGAGAAGACGCAGTGGCACACCGGGTCGGTGCGTCACAGCATGTACGGCCCTCGACGAGGAAGGGACCCCAGACATGCTCGCGTCGTGAAAGAAAGATCAGGGCGGGAGGTTTTTGGGCCAGTTTCGGCCTCGGGGGGCTCTCGCCGGGCCTCGGGAGCGTCAGGAAACGACTCAGGATGAGAAGCCGGTCCCGGGGAAAGGGTCGGGATTTCCAGGTACCCCGTCCTGAAAAAATCAGGACGTCGCGTGTCTGGGGCTGCATGACCACGAACTTCCGGAGGTCCGCGGCGCGGAGTTCTCGGATTGGCGCTGGGCCCCCTGGCGGCGCCTCCGGGCCGCCCCTGGCGCGTTCCGCGAGCCAGGGAGGTGGGCACAGCGTGGATCCAACAGATCCGCGCGGACCTCAGAGAGTTCACGTTCATGCCGTTTACTGCTCATCTAGGCCCGCTGCGCAAGGCTGTTGCCACGATGCCTGAGCTGGTCTTCGAGCCCAAGAAGGTCTTCACGATGGAGGCCGCGAAGCACTTCATCGCGGCCTTCGCCCCCGCTGTCGAGCCGCTGCCCGAGGGCGCCGAGGAGGACTCGGCCGCGGCCGCGCCGCAGGCGTACGTCGGGGACGCCTTCGCAGAGCTGCTCGCGACCGCTCGCGCCTGGCTGCACCAGGCCGAGGGCAAGCTGGACGACCACGCGCTGCTGAAGCTGTCGAAGGCGATGGGCTTCCGCACGCGGGCGGTGATCTCGGCGCTGGCCGGAGACATCTTCTGGTGCCACCCGGAGGCGGAGATCGAGGTCTTGCTCCGGACGGCGAAGGGCAAGCAAGAGCACCCGCAGCCCCTGCCGGACGTGTACCTGCACCAGCAGGTCCACCAGGCCCTGGTCGCCAAGGTTCGAGGGACAGCAATAGCTATGCATGCGCAGGAGCTCTCGGGGCTTCGCCCGGATACTCTGAGTTTGCGCTGGAACTCCCTGGTGACGCCACAAGCGCCGCCCCTGGCTCGCCCCGCGCGCCAGGGAGGATGGTCCAGCTCAGATCCAAGGAGTCCGCGCGGACGTGCGAAAATCGAAGCTCAAGCAGTAGTGTTCGTTTTCATCTAAAGGTGAAGGAGCTAGGCACGAAGGCGAAGTCCGACAAGCTGGCGGCCGCGCTGAACTGGAACGCGAAGTCCGAACTCAAGAGGACGTACGGAACGGTGCGTGTGGTTTTACGTGGTTTAAGAGACGTTTTCTTCGAGCCCAACAAGCTCTTCTTCAAACAGTCGCTCGACGGCATTGTGGAGTGGCCGGTCGGCAAGAATGGCCGGTTGTCAGAGGAGGAAAAGGTGCTGATACCGTTACCCCATTCTTCTTTTTTCGCCACGGCTGGGGTCGCCCCGAAGTTCTTGTCAGAGCGCACCCCGGGAGAGGTGCGGGGAGTAGCGTCTGTTTTTGCTTTGTGTTGGTTATCCCCAGGTTGGGTCCGCGAGATGATTCCGGCGTGACCGAGCACTGGACCCCGGCCGTGGACGATCAGAAGCTGGCGGGGGATCCGGCCTGGACGGCCGTGAAGCGGCAGGTCCTCGGCACGCTCATGAGGAACGGTGGCCATGCCGAGGCCCAGGTCCTGAGGCAGCTGCTGTTACCCCTCGAGGATGTTGAGCTCGAGGCGCCACTCGAGCGGAATTTGGTATATGAGTTGGCTTTAACGATATTTTGGAGTGGGGTTGGCTTGAACGATGATGGTGGTGATGATGGTGGTAGTGATGATGTCGATGATTAGGGTCATGGTGATGCTGAGTGCTGATGATGACGATTTTGTTGACGACGACGATGATGATGATGCTGATAATGACGAAGATGCTGATGA